AAAGCGTATTGTCACTTGTGAGTTTAAGTGTTTGACTATACCAATAATATATGGTTGCATTTCTTTCGTAATCTAACCTATAACAACTTCAAGTAACATAATCAATATGTTTGCTACGTATGTACCTGTCTCAAATTAATATATACCACACAAAAACATTGTGTATTAAACGTTATTGTCGATATATATAGTGTATGTTTTCCCAAGTTAAAACAATTTAGCGAAACATTTGGTCTGTGACTCCGTGCTATACATTTTTGTCTAAACATACATCTTTTAAACTTTATGTAAAAATATCATATATCTAATAGCAATCAAATTTTAATTTATCCTATAGTTCTAGAATAGCTGCTACTGGTGCTCGTTTGTGGCAGCCTATATAGAGCGACAATTCAGAGAAAACAAAAATACTTAACAGAAAGAAAAAAAATACTTGACCTGCCCATTACCATCCACTGGACCAAGATGTTAAGTTTCAAATTCAATGTACTTGTTACGTATTTAAAGTCAATTTTGTTCAATAAGAATGCTTAAGCAAAATTTACTATCGTTCGTCATGAAATTAATACAACTCAAATTTTTGTTTTAATCTTGTTAAAAATTCATATATCTGGGATCATGTTCATACTACCAATCCTTTACTTATAAGTTTATAGTAACTTACAATTGTCATTACGTACGTATTCTTTTCTAAGGGCTTTATAAATACAATGTATGTATGTTAACGTAATTAATAGATTAGATGATCAACATCAACTAGTTGGGTTGATTTGAAAGTAATGTTTGGAATTAAGAGGTCCGTCTATAGGGTCCCTATATCATTAATCATCCATAAAAAGTTAAGAACTAATAAAAGTAGGCTAAATAAAGTAGAAACTATATTTTTTAAAAACAAAATTGGCATCAAGAAATTATAAATAATTATAGACATACATATAATGCACATCCACAACATAATATATTTAGTGTAATGATTATCATATCAGCTAGACTGTTCAAAATTTGGTACCACGTATTCTAATTAATTTTTTTTAAAATGATTGTAACATTTCAGAAGTCCGTAAATTGGACTGGTTTGGTTTATCAGTATCGAATTAATTCTCCGTAGTACGATGTCAAAAAAAGGGTGGGATCCGAGAGAACCAATAAACACATAATACAAAAAGGTTAAAAATGAGTATTTGGACAGAGGGCTTTCAATGTTGGTATAAATATAAGATGTTAAAAATGCATATACCCTAAGGTACGTAGATTCATTACCAATAATAATTACCCTCCTCTTTCAACATCACTTCTACTTAACTTTTTAGTTGGGATATGCAGTTTTTGCAAGCTTTATTAATATATGGTAAATTCGGTTATATCTACATTTCAGATTTTTTTCTTTCAAAACCTTTTTTTACTATCAATTTTTTTTACAATGAATATTAACTTTCAGTATGTATATTAACTTTTGATATTATATTTTATTCACTTTTTCCATTTTTTGGTGATTGGATGCAGTCTTGAGAAATAGAGCAGATGTGTTAAATTTTAGTAAATAATGATGAAACAAGAGCGAATTATGCCTAAAATGGTGACATAAGATCATGATTTCAGATTGTGACATGTGTTAATTTAATAATATAAATTTTTATATTTTAAATAAAATAAAAGGAAAATAAAATTATAATATAATAGAAATTATTTTTTGGAACTATATCATTTGATTAGAAGATTGTTTATGAGGACCCTTTAAAGGTTCTAACCAAGGAGCATGCAGATCCCAAAAAACGCACTGTTTCTTCTCCAAAAAATATGAAACTATTTTTAATTGTCTAACTGTGAATCATAAAATAGAATTTATAAAAAAATTAATGGGATATTAATTTAAAATATAGTTATATAGATCATAGTTTTATGTGGATTATCAATTTTAAATGTTTCAATATATTTTGTTTCTAGATACTACACAGTACCTAATCTAATACTCTCTCTGTTCAGAATTATTTGATATTTAAGATTTTTGCACACAGATTAAAAATTTATTTAATTTTTATTTTTCTACACCAAAAACATTATTTATAATTTATTTAAATATATTTCAGCCAATAAAAAAATAATCTGTAGAATATAAAATGTCAAAAACAATAAGATTCATTAAATTTTATATTGAAAAGTGAGAACATCAAATAATTCTAAATAAAAAAAAACCTCTTAAAACATCAAATAATTCTGAACTGAGGAAGTGTTATATAAACAAAAATGATAGAAGTATATTCTCTTATTTTGTTTTGCGTAAAAATTCAATACATTTATTTTATTATGCATTTGCAAAAAGGCTATCTATTTGTCTTTGCAGAAAGGCTTTGATCATCTCCAAATTTTGAACCTTTAAACTTCAGCCCAGTAATAATTAAATCAGACAATATCTACTCTATGCAATTATATATATATATAGAGAGAGAGAGAGATAGAGAGAGAGAGATAGAGAGAGAGAGAGAGAATTTTTTATTTATCATGGATTTACCTCAAGAAAAATAACATTTTGAGTTTACATTTACAAAAGCCATATTTAAAGTTTGGCTAAGCAAGAAAAGTAGAACAATTAAACTACTAGGCCAACATCAGCATGAACAAATAAACAAATAATGAAGCTTCCTAGCTAAGGGCATCTTTGAAGCTGCAAACAAAGCTGTAGCAGCACATGTAGCATCCGAGCTAGCTTAAGGGGTGACACGGAGAAGACTTACGGAGCAATCTACACACGTGGAAGTGAGGTTATAGCTAAAATGGAACTATAGGACGTGTTGGACACTTCAAGAGATGAAAAGCTGACTTAGACGAGGAGCTTGGGGTATCTTGAGGGAATTTCAGAGAATATGTCGAGTTTCCTTCATCTTATGAGAAGATAAGGAAATAGAAGATTATCTTGAAGATTTGAAGAAATCAACAAGGAGAGTCTCGGCTAGGGTCAGCCTCAAAGTCCTATTGAGTATAAATAGGCGTGTTAAAGTCTTGTAAGGTTTTTAATACAACTGAGAGAATTCTTAGCCAAGGGTGAGGAAATTTCTTGTAAGAGTTTGTGAGTTAGAGTGCTAAAAAATTTGGGTGAGAGGTTTTTGAATCACGTATAGATTCAAGAACATAGTGAGGCTAGAATAGCAAATCAAGGTAAGTCTTGAGTTTGCTCTAAATCGGGTTTGTGTAAACTTGTAAGTTGCAAAACAGATTTACTAGTAATATACTTGTGAAGAGAATATGTGTGTAGTGTTCTGTAGTGTTCTGTGTTAGTTCCCGAGTTATCGCTCTTACATTTTAATCTCAAATGGAGCACCAAAACACTAAATTTGGTATTGATTTTTCTCTAATGAACACCAAATCTAGCACCAAATTTCCAAATTTGGTGTTTTAATGAACAGTATTGCACCATATTAAAAAATTAAGAAAATAATATTTTCAACAATACTATTCATTACACAGAACTATTAAAAAATTAAGAAAATCTTTAATTTAATAATATAATAAAAAAAGTTTTTTTAATTAATGTGAAATTTGGTGTTGTGGTTGGAGATGCAAAAAGATACTATTCACCAAAACACCAAATTTTACACTATTCATAACATCAATTTTGGTGCAATGATTAGAGATAGCTTAAGTAGGAGACTGGAGAATAAGAAAGTTGAAAGTAACCAAACCACGTCAAAAGATAAACGTCACTTTGGCTTGAAGGATAAGCATTTCCGATATCTGGTTTGTCAAATCCCCGACAAGGTTACGAATAAGAACTTGTCAGTCGCAAAGTAACTGAGTTGGTTGCTTGGATCCAGCTTGGTCTAGAGTTATTTTATTTCCATAAATCATGAATAATTGCTAGAAGAAGTGCCGGAAAAAAATTTGCTAGAAAAAGTAACTTGCGAATACTATGCATTTCAGCTCTTCGAATCATCTTTAATATCTAATAAATTCTCAGGTTTTTCTGCTAGGCATAAGAGTTAAGACACACATGTTTGCACTTTGCAGCACCAAAAATCTAGTTAGAACTATACGTAGTAAACTTTCGTACCCAAAAAAAAATGAAAGAGAAAAAGAAAAATAGTAACCATGCTTGTTTTATTTTTTTGATGAGAAAACCCATGCTTGGTTGAGAGTTGAGCACTACAAGTTTCAGTGGTTCAGTTTAATCTAATGGAAATTTGGGATCACATTTTTTTCTTGTTCAACCAAAATCAACAAAATTCAGTCTCAACAAACTCTTCAGATTTTTTATTTTTATTTTGAAGAGTTGTTTGCTGAGAAATACTCTTCAATTCTTTGTGTTCTCAATCTATATGAAATTCATCGCAACCTGAATAAAAACATAATTTTCTTTTTTGTTTTTGTTCATTAATTAGAAAAGGAATTAACCTTGAATACCCAAAAGGTCCGATTAGGGGCTACAAACGGAAAACGAAAAGTGTTTTTTTTTAAATAGTCTAAACCGGTTTTCGTAGCTATTGCCTACTGATAATATATATACTGTTGTTTTATTTAGCTATAACTAAATATATTTGCTTTATAATAATCACAACTCACAGCACTCTATATTCATATACCCATGCTAATATAAAAATTAATATATTATAACCCCTTAAATTATTATTCTGTGAATTTGCATTTGCATATAAATATATATAACCATTATGTAACATATAATTTCAAAAGAACGTGTGAAAAAACTATCTAAACCCGTTTAAATGGATTAATCAATTTCGGTATGTTGACTTACTGGAAAAATACAGGGATTGACTTTACCATATTACAGACCTATTTGGAAAGAATACAGCATGCAAACTTAGGTCCATATGTATATATGCATGTACACACACATATATATAGAGAGATATATAAACAATATTTATGTCACACTGAATTTATATATATAAAGAGTAAGGCTCGACTAAACATGCATCACTGACTCATCCACCTTCATCTCTCTCTCTCTCTCTCTTTCTCGGATCAAGAAAAAGTTCAAAAAAAAGATGAGAATGACAAGAGATGGAAAAGAACTAGAATACAAGAAAGGTTTATGGACTGTGGAAGAAGACAAGATCCTCATGGATTATGTCCGAACTCACGGCCAAGGTCACTGGAACCGCATCGCCAAGAAAACAGGTCCTTTTACCCTCTCTGTCTATTCTCTCGTTTGTTCTTGATGTAAGAAAAAAATGCTAAATTTTAAACGTTGGATAATAATTTAGGGCTCAAGAGATGTGGAAAGAGCTGCAGATTGAGATGGATGAACTACTTAAGCCCTAGTGTAAACAGAGGCACTTTCACTGACCAAGAAGAAGATCTCATCATCAGACTCCACAAGCTCCTTGGCAACAGGTTCTTCTTTTTAAAGATTAATCTTGATCTTGTTGTAGTTTCTTCTATACAATTATATTGTATTGATCTCGTTTAAATTGTTTCTTCTATACATACAATTATACTATTGATTATATATATGTATGAGTTGGTCGAAGTTTAATTTACATGAATTTCTATATGTCTAAATGTTTACATCTAGCAAGCTAACGATTTATATACATAGTATCTAACTTCTGATCATTTTTATTCAGTCGTTTTGGTTAATCTCTATCATATTTATTATGTGTCTACTATACTATTATAATTGTTTATACTTAAAAAAAATTAGTCGACAGAACTGAGGATCGATCGTGAATTTGAATCAACGATCTTAGATCTGTCGTTTGCTTTTTTCTGACATTATATGTATAATTAATTATATATCTTGGTTTATATTCAAAGATATGTTTTTTTTTTTTTACCAAAGGCTTATATTCAAAGATATGTTTCCTCGAACTTTACAATTACTAATAATTGTACTCATTTATGGATCATACGCATATACACCTGTCTCATATAGTTTAATTCTTAACGTCTGCAGACACATATCAACATATATAATCTGGCTACGTGAATTACACACTTGCTCTAAATAGATCCATAAGCGTTAACTCGTACCTCGGTATAAGAAACTTTAATAACCATGCAGAGATATATCAGTAAATATTGTCATTATTCATCTATGTTAAAAGGAGTAGGGTCACAAAGAGAAAAAAAAGCATCATTCCGTGAGAAAATGGAAAATATGTGTTCCATCCTTCTTTGGTATGTGGGGATCTTTTCAGAAGAATTAATGTCCTTTTGGTATTTAACTTTTGATAAGAAAATATTGTATCATATTTTTACCTGACGAATTTATATATATATATATATATATATGTAATGAAACTTTAAAATTCGAACTAAGTATAGTTAATTTTTTTTTATTTTAATTCACGTGAAAAAATGTTTAAAACAACATTTAATTTCAAATGTTTTATGATTCAGATGGTCGTTGATAGCAAAAAGAGTGCCGGGAAGAACAGACAATCAAGTAAAGAATTATTGGAACACACATCTTAGCAAGAAACTCGGCCTCGGAGATCATTCATCTGCGGCCAAACCGGCTTGCCACGTGGAGACTCCGCCGTCTTTGGTCCTCACAACCACAACTTCTCCCTCTCATCATCAAAACGATATCACTGGAGGAAAAGTTTCAACTTTAAGATTTGACACTTTAGACGACGATTCCAAACTCAAACCAAAACCCAAACCGGTCAATTCCATACAACCCGACGTCGAAGTTGCTGCTACGGTTCCAAATCTGTTCGACACTTTCTGGATTCTTGAAGACGACTTCGAGCTTAGTTCACTCACTATGATGAATTTTGCTAACGGGTATTGCCTTTGAATATTATTTATGATTGGCTTCTAAGAAGTAATTATCGATTAATATTAGATTATATATATGAACAAGAATAAGAATATGAATACATCTGATTTTTTGATATTTTCTTATAGTTTTGTACTCATTTTTGTGTGTAAAAGTAAGGAATAAGGATGATCATTTGATAAGAAAACTATATAGAGTTTGATTTCGTTGTTTCCTTAGTGTAACCAAAATAAATCTCATGTTGGTTTAAATTATAATAATTACATTCTGTCTTTACATACTGTACTTCATCTATTAGCGTTCATAGAAGATTTTGCTACTTTGTAAAAGAAAAAAAGGAGTAAATTAAGAAAAAAATACAGGACAAAATTTGAACTAGTGCAACCTCAGCTATGAATACTATATATTGGGTTTTTGTTTTTGTTGTTTCCAATTTTATAGGATGTGTTTGGAAAACATTCATTCATAACTTGTATAATGGGAAAATACATATTTTAGACTATCCTAAATTGTTGACAAAAAACTATCCTAAATAATAGTACTAATATTTATTTTGAAAATTCTAAATCAAGAGGCCGCTGTACAATACTAACCTATTAGTTTTACCATAGTTAGAAAGGAATTATTTATGATGTAAAAACAAAATAATTACGCTCTCTATTTTATAGCAAGTGTCATTTCTTTTATAATTTTATTTTTCATTCAAAATGTTATATGATATCTTACATGTAAATTTTGAACAAAAATGAAGTTTTATCTCTTTAATATATGTTTACAAAAGAAAAACTAAAATGACTTTTAAAAGTGTATAACATAATCTTTGCTTGCACAAGGAGTCAGAACAATCAACATTTTAAGTCAATAAATTTGGTCAGCCAGGAAAATCCAGCTGTTACCAAAAGTAAAAAAAAAATAGCCTTGATTCTTCCACCATATTTCTATAACAACTTGCATTTTTCCTATTTTAAGTATTCCTTGAAAGAGTTTAAAGATTAACCTAGTGAATGAGGTCTTGTCAGGTTAGGCTCTTGTGTCTCTTACATTAAGTAGACAGATTAATGTTAGGGTTAGCATTGTCATTTGAAGTAAATGACGATTAATCCCGAATTTAGGACTATACTCCTCATACATTGGATAAGACCAGTCCTCGTACGTTGGGACTTTGAAAGTTAGTTGAGGAAGCCAAGACTGAGAGATTATTTTTCTGGTTGACTTGGAATAATTTTTTTCCAACAAAAAAGTTGATGTTTAGATTCCTTTTATATTATTTATGAACCGAAAAAAAAGATGTTGAGGTATCTCCACCTGAAATATTTTATTTTCTTTTTTTGTCCAAAATAGAAACTATATGTTAAAACTTAGTTTTGTCCCCATACCTGAAGTTTAGTTTTACATAACTGGATGGTTTATGACCAAAAAAAGGTTTTACATAATTGGCTGAAAATATAAACATTTACACAGAATCGTCATTTAGTTTATTAAATCCTTAAACTAAAGAGGACCTTAGACCAAAAAAAACAACAGTAGTTTAGAAGAGGCTAATAAAAAAAATAGTATTACTTACATATTAATTAAAAATCATTTTTGATGAATCCATTTTTTACTTTGAAAATTGAGTACTTGACATATGAAATGTCATTTTCAAAAAATATTTTGTCTTTCGGGGACATCCGATAAAATTCGCCTGTTTTTTTATACTGAAAACAAGAAAAAAAATTTGAACAAATTTATATATAATTATATCTAATTTTTTTTCGAAAATTTATATAATTTAAAATCTTATACAACCGATAAACCATGTAACTAAAAAAAACCGAAATACCGACATCTAGGTTGGATGACATTATGCTACTTTTCTAATAATTTTTTTGCATTAATACGGGAAAAAAAAAGCAAATGAGCCTGTCCAATGTTACGAAAGGCCCACCACCGTAGGAAGGATTTTAAAATCCAAAGCCCACTAATGAATCCTAAATAAACAAAATTGAGCCCAAAGATGTGGAAAAAAACCCACATTATAAAATTCGTTTTCATTGACCAAATTTCTTTAGTGGAATCAAGGAACAAGGAATAGTTTTCCCGGAACGATGATGAATGTTGAAGAAAAGCCCAACGATATCTTTCTTATATGGTAAATACGTTCTTCTCTTTTCTTCTTCCTTCATCGCTCTGTTCCTCAGATAAAACTTCTCATGCCCAGAAGAAACTTTCTTCGTCTTCGATGACTCGTCTCTGTTTCTTTCTCTGTTTTTGGAATTCGAATTCAGAAAATTAAGCGATTGTTTCCCTTCGCTGTAACTTCTCTTCAACAAATCCTTAATTCTCCACCGTCGCGACGACGACGACGACGATCCCGTCGATTTGCTCTTTCTCCAACCTCCGATTCGTGATTTCTCCGGCGTCCATGGACAATAACTCTCGCTCGTGATTCCGTCCTCTTCGTCTGATTCCGATGATGAATACACCAGTGTCGGCGCCGGATCTTCGCGATCGCGGAGTAATAGATCTCCAAGCTGAGTCGTAACCGCCGCCGCCGCACGCGACGGTTCGTTTTTATCACCGTCCGATTTCGCGGCGGAGAGTTTAGGTGCGAGGATTTGATTGAAAATCGGAAAAACGAAACCGCGATCTCCGGAGAAAGCATTGACGAATTCAAACTCGTCGCCGTTGGAATATTCTTCATCGGAAAACTCAGATCGTACTCGATCGGCGGTTTCAGCGAGTCCGTCGCCAGTGTAACTGCTAAAGCTAGGACAAAACGACGCCGTGTAGGTGTTGTCATCTTCTTTCTCCATTGTGTGAAGCTTTCCTTTTTCACCGTAATGGTGTTCGATTTGTCTCATTGGGTTATTATATATAGGAGAAAATTGGTGGGCTCATAAAAATGGCAATTTGTGTAAATTTAAAGGGAAAAAGGTGTGATATGTATCATCATCAAGGTTAAGACTTTCTTTCTAGAAGCTAAATTTGGATCCAGATGTTTAGGTGGAGATTAGATTTTTAATTAAGTAGTTGACAATGAGGTACTACTTGACTCTTTTGTATTGTGTGATTACTGATTAGCTACTAAAAGTGGTACCATGTCTATTTGATCAGATATCATCTTTCATTAGAAAGAATAACCTTTTAGAAAGAATAACCTTTTAACAATTTTTCAATTTTGTAATCAATTTTCTAGTTTCCGTGTGCGAAAATAACAACAAATAGAGAAATCAACTGTTACTTTCGCAAATATAACCTAGAACCGGATCCAGTTAAACAGTTAATAGGTTCTTTTGCGAAATTAAAGTAAACAATAGATGAAACTTGTGAAAAAAAAAACAATTGCTTAAACCTTTTTTTTAAGTAGTTGCGAATAACAATATAACTAAATTTAGTTTTTGCAAAGTAATCATAAAATTTTTATTGTATGTAACAGGATTTCTATAAATATTCCAAATGGTATAAATAGCATAATCACATTTTTTAACGTGAAAAAATGTAAATCAGTCATCATGCTAATGTTTTTGTTTGTTAACGTACAAAACTAAACAATGCCAATTTTCCTAAAAAGTAAAAACTATTAAAAACTAGCTGTACTTTTAAAAATTAATCCGTCAATATATTACGAAGGCTTGAGGTGCAAGGAAACTTTTATAATTATCAATCATATGCTTATGGTCGTCTCTAATAAAATGTTGTTTGTTTATGAAATTTAAATATCATTCTTTGGAAACATCGGATTATTACGTAACTGCTGACGAAAGAAAAAGAATCATGAACACTTGGATTCTTACGATTATTTCTATTCTAAAAAACGATGGTTCGATTGCTTCAATTACTCAATATTACGGCAATATTTTTTGCTCTCGTCGAAGCTAAATAGATCTTTTTTTTTTCTGATCTAAAAATCAAATCAAGTATTCGACTTTCTCCTATCTAAGGAGGATTCGTATTACTCATTCTAATTACCAACAACTCTTTCGTCCTTGCACCACCACACATATTACATGTGTCTTTAACAATATTAATTCATTGTTTTTTTGTGAACAAAATATTAATTCATTGTTACTTACATTTATAATCAGTTATTACCCGTAAACAATAAATCCTGACTTATAAAGGTTAGGCATTAAATATGAAAATATTAGCGACAAACAAAGCAAAGGATGTTTTATAATTTTTGCTTTAACAAAAAAGAAAAAATATGTTTTTATAATTTTTGTGGTGTTTTGGAAAACGAAACTATTGTAAGTTGTACGTAACATCGTAACTTGTGTCTATGTGGATCCACTATGATGAGGCACTCCTAAAGGTTAGACCACTCAGGCTCGACTTTGTTTGGTTTTCAAGTTCGGTTCCAAAAGCATGTTTGCTGCATGTGGATGGCTTAAAAGGTTCCGGAATTAGTGTAAGTTGTACACAATATCGTAACTTATTTAACATTTTCGACCCCAAAAAAAAAAACTTAAGATTTGATTCTGGAGACAAGAATGGGAAGTTGCGTGAACCGACTAGATCGTGTGTTCATTGGTTTTGGTCGGGTTTCAATGGGTCCAGAAAGTCTTAAGTTTTTAAAATATAACCCCGTAACAGATTTCTATCTGAATTACATGTTTATCGGCTTGACCGACCGAGCTTGGCCGGATTTTAAAAACGGTGTTTATCATAGGTTATACTTCTCCATCCTTACTGTCTTTCTTTCTCCTCTCTTGGCATTTGAATTTCGTCAAAGATCATTCCTTTACTGAAATTATTGTAGTGCTTTTTAGTATTCTGTTGGTGAGGCAATTCCATTACATTACAAAAGAACACTTTCATATAACTCATTTCATTGATTTCGACCACAAATGTTATGTATGTACATATTAAATCAAATTTCTTTTTCTCAAAAATGTTAAACGGCTAAGCTTTGGTGCCAGCTAAGTTCCAAACACGCAGCTTCCCACTCTTGTCTCCACTGAATAACAATCCTTCAGGACCAATTGTGATTGTGCCGATCGTGTGCGTCGAAAACATCTTTCCTCTTTCTTCAAAACTGTTTGTAACCCATAAACAGAGTGAATGAGTAAATGATTAAGATTAGCGTAGGAGTACAATTATAGATACTCTTCTAGGAGGAAGCTTCACTTACGATGGTAGATCGACGATGCTGACTGTTCCGTTTTGGTAAGAGGAGAACATGATCGGTTTGCCATCTCCGTCGTTAATCCCACAAAGAGCATGCACACTCTGTTTCAAACCATAAAACAATATAGAAATGTTCTTTTTGTTAAGACCAAGTTTGTGTTGTTGTGATGAGGAGAATGGTGCTAAAGGTTATACAAAAATTAACCTGTTCTTGTCTGCGCGTATTAGTAACTTTCAAGATGCCATTGTCAGAACAAGCCCAAATTTTTATGGTTCCATCCAAGGAGGACGAGAACAGGTACTGATCCCAACATAAGAGCGATGTGATCGTGTCGCTATGTTGCCTTAGGGTCATTGTACATTGCAGCGTGTTGAGATCCCACACCTGAAAAAATTACAGCAAATAGTATTGATTAGAATGCATTCTATAAGATTGTCAGTTTTTACATGTTTAAACCTTGATTCAATAAGTAGAAGCCACTTCTTACCTTTATCGTTTTATCCACGGAACCAGAGTATAGTCGCTGACCTCCAACAATAAAACATGTGACTTGACCACTATGGTGTCCCTCGAGAGATGTGAGGTACGTGAAAGGATCAGATTCGGTTTCAGTAGCTTTCCAGACAGATATGCTACCAGACTGCAATTCCAATAAGAAAAAAAAACCAAAAGGAACTTACTTTAGATCCAACAATGGGAAGCAGAGAGAACTAATAAAAGTAGAGATCGAGTTAAGATGCTTACACTTGTCCCAGCAAAAAGCATTCCATTTCCAACAGTCATAGCATGGACCTGACCAACCACTCCGTTAAGATGCAAATCTTTACTGGTTTGGACGTTAAAAGCCTGCAGCATTGTAGATAAAAAAAAGAACTATGAGACCAGAGCCAACACAACAAATCCCACTCATGACTATAGACGAATGGCACTAGGATAACTGAAAATGTATTTGAGCTAAGAGATGCCTTAAACTAACCTTTACAGCATTTGGCAAGCCAAGGAAAACCCAACGGCCTTCACTGATTAAAGACCCTGCTTCTGCCTGGAGGTTGATTGTATGAACACACTGACCAGTATGACAGTCCCATATTCGCAATGTACCATCGCTACTGGCTGAAAAGAGTTTATCTGAACCCACAGGAAGTGCAATCCCCTTCAGATCCTATAGGAAAAACAATCAACATGTTAATAAAATACGTTTTCCATTTAGTAAAGAGTAACAAAGCAATTAAAAACAGCTTAAGCGTACCTTCTTGTGTCCTTCAAGAGTAGCTACCATAACCAATCCAGGTAAGCTAGACCAAGAGTGTAAGAACTGGCATAGCTCGCCATTCTTGCAGTTTCCAGCTTTCCAATACTTACATACACAATCTCTAGACTTGGGACTGCCGTTATCTCTCGACCCCAAGCCTCTGGTGCCTGAAACAGATGAGCTTCTTGGCCCATTAGCACCATTCTTCCTTGGCTGATTCGACACACAATGTCCTGTGCCTGAAACTGGTGATTTCACTGACTCATTGGTGTTATCATTCTTCCTTGGCCTGTTGCCTTCTGATGCCGTCCAAACCAGATTCCTTGACCTCTTATTCGGACCTTTGTTCACTCTGTTTTCATAAGGAACATATGGTCTTCTCGGAGCTATATCTGCTGCGAAATCTTGTTGCCTTTCCACTCCAAAAGTCCTTCCGTTTGAGTATCTCCTTAGCGCCTTATGATTCATACTATAGACATTGAGAAAACAACTAACTTTAGCAGACTGAACCACAGATTCGAGCTTTGTTGCTTCATCCATGATGATCCACAGAAACTCTCAGAAGGGTAACACGTTTCGAAGGAGTAAGAAGAAGATCAAAAGCTCCAATCCTCTGATACCCCAAGTTCATGTTAACAAAACTCCAAGTATCGTAGAGCATCACGTCCACAGAAGAAAAAAAGTAACCACTTAAATTTTATCTCCATATTCAGAACCCTAATCTAACGAGACTAAGAACCGAAACATTCCTTCAATTCCAGAGAGGCCATACATGATCGATGTAGTATCGACTCACAAGAAACCACATGGTTCGACGATTTCAACCGAAATAAAAACCCTAACTATAACAACAACTAAACCCAAGAAGAGAGGTATAAATCAGATCATATTCCATCATCCTTATCGGTGAAACCCTAGCTTCCTGGGTAATCGATGCGAATAGGAGGACGAAGATCCAGAAGACGCAGAAACCCAAATTGAAAGCACGAAGAAATCATCATAATCGCGGAGATCCGTAGTCAAAGTAGAAGCAAACCTGAGAGATCAAACGAACGTAGAGATCTTCGAATCGGGAACGCTTTTCAATTCTTTATAGAGAAAAAAAAAGAATTTTTTTGACGACGAAGAAAAAGGAACGACTCGTATAAATAAGCTGTTGCCTTGTTAGAGAGGTGGGTAATAATAATATATAGACGAGCGTGGAGGTGTATTTTCTAAATGGGCCATTACTATGGCCCATTATTACGTGGGCCACAAACCCGTAAGTTAATTTTTGGTTATACAACAACCTACGGATTGTTTTGCGTTAGCTTTTATCTATGGGCTCAACTCTCAAGAGAATGTTATATACCAAAAGCCATTGAAAGGGTTTTAGTCTCAAATTTGATTAACTTTAAAAGTCTACGACAAGACAAAACCATCAATCTACTTCTAACCTATGATTATGACAAGATCATGGTATCATCAACTTCTGAAAATAGTTTTGTTTTTTTTTTGGTTTTGCAGAAACCTTAAATATCCTAAAACCTGTAAAAAAGTGTCCTGAAGATTCTCAACCAACAAAACATATAAGACATAATCCTAAGACGATCACATCTTCCTTACTTTCTCGAGCCAAATAACCATCTCTTCTTCAAGTTTCACTTTCACTTCTGTAGTCATTCCTGCTTTCGATTCATCCACTAATGTTATCATCTCCTCCAGCTTCTTCTTCAAATTCTCCATCTCCGTTGCTGCCTCTGCAACTTCAGCTTCAGCTTTCTTCTCTTCTGCTCTCTCGTTGGGATACTTGAGTCTGAATTTAACTGTGGAAGTAGAAGCAAATGGACATTTCTCTTGTGAGGACTCGAAGGCTGTTTCACCATCAGCTATGTTCACGAAGGCGACACGGGCACAGAAGTTGTTGTCGAGCATATTAGTTCTCTCTTCATCCAAAGCTCCAAACTTTTCGTAGATTTCAATCAGCTCTTCTTTCTTAGGCAAGCTCGAACCAGGACCAAATGTAACAAGAAGCTCAGCTCCTGAAAACTCCTCCTCAGTTTCTTTCTTTTCCTTATCCACTTTCGACTTTCCCTCTCTTTTCTTCTTCTTCTTCTCGGGTTTCTCAGTCTCATTCGGCGTTTCCTCTTCCTCATATTTAGGCTTCTTAGCTTTTCTCTCTTTCTTCTTTGACTCTTTCAAGGTTTCTTCTTCCTCATCCGCTTGCTTCTTACGTTTTCTCTCTTTCTTCGTTGGTTCATTTGACTCTTTCAAGGTTTCTTCTTTTTCATCCGCTTGCTTCACTGATTCAGGCTTCTTACGCTTTCTCTCTTTCTTTGTTGTCTCACTCGACTCTTGGCGGGCTACTTCTTCTTCTTCATCCGCTTGCTTCTTTGATTTCGGTGTCTTCGGTTTTCTCTCTTTCTTCGTCGTCTCAGGCTTGTCTGTCTCATTCTCTTCTTCTTTTCCAACTTGCTCAATCTCCTCTGTTTGCAGCTTCGCTTTACGCTTCCTATCTTTTATCTCTTTTCCTTTACTCTCAGCTTTGCCAGTCCCATTCAGCTCTTCCTTGTCTGTATCTGGACTATTATAACTCCCTAATAGCTTGCTATTGGCACCCTCATGATATGTGAAGCTTCTGTAGATGGACATGAACTCTCTTACCATGTCTCTTGAGCTACTGTCTTTCGGATATTGTGTACCAAGAGCAGCTACACGAATTAGATCCCGAATTTCCTCAGGCGTAGCTCCCAATCTCAGAAAATCGACGGCGTTACAAAGTTCCTCTGACAGTTCTTGATGAGCTACACCATTCTCCAATAATAATGATTCGCAAGGTTTATTATCCTCTTCCACTGGCACGAGGCTTTCACTAGCATTGGTCTCTCCTACTTGGCTCTGACTTACTTGGCTCTGACTTGAAACTTTGGAAGATTCAGATTCGATTTTGCTCCTTTTCCTCCTTTTCGATGAAAAATCTGATAAGTACTCTGGCGAAAGATACTTGCTCTTCTTCCTCTCTCTCTTTGTCGTTTGTGTGGAGGTCTCGCCATTTCCAGCACTTGAAGCATCAACCCTGACCCTTTTTCGCAGTGAAGCTAACGGAGTTGAATCATTCTCTGTTGCATCATCCGAATTCTCCTTTTTCTCAGTTTCTTCTCTGTCTCCACCCCCATCATCATCATCATCATCCACATCCCTTTTCTTCCTCTTCCTTGAAACAGATTTGCCTTTGCTATTTTCTCCCACTTGCTTGTGACCACTGTCTTCGATTGTAGAAACTTCACTCGTTCTTCTCCTCCTCGGTGTGGTGGTGGTTACAGTTGCAAGCTCATTCTTAGCTTCATCACGGCGTTTTACCTTTTTCCCACTCGACTTTACATCTCCATCCTCTGGTTCAGTCTCAAATCTCACCTTAGCAGCCGACTCATTCTCCAATATTTCAGCAATGCTCTTTTGCTTCCTTCTGTGTTGCAGCCTATGATCAGGAAACCCAGAACACTTCTCTAACGATCTCTGAAGAGACTCTCCAGGTTCCAACGCTTCTTCTTCTTCTTCTTCTTTGCTCGAACCTTTAATCTCATCATCAATGACCTCGTCTTCATCATCATCATCATCATCATCATCATTGTTCTTGTCTTCAAGCCCTGGGACAGATTGTGGCTCAGTGTACTCGGTCAAGCCATATCCTCTTTTAGACCGATAGAACGCAGATACCTTCCTTTTCAGAATCTCGAGCTCAAGCAACCCATTAAAACTAACAGTCTCTGCAAATCCTCTAACATCTTCAAGAATCCCTTCAGGTTTCCCAACCAGCAAAGACGAAATCATCTCTCTTCTCACGTCATGAACAAGGACGCCTTCTTTTATCCCAGCGTTCTTAACTTCAGGGTTCTCGAACTTGCGCTTTTCCTCTTCACAATCACATTTCAGTAAACGGTCAATGTGTCTTCCCATTTCTCCTACAGCTTCTTCCACTGCACTTAGGAACACCTTCGAACTGCTCATCTTTGAACACTCTTTAAAACTCTCTGCAAACGGTTTCAACTGCGATGGACCACACCAAGCAAATGTCCTGTCTCCAAAATACGCAACAAGCAGCTTTCCCTTTTGCTTTATCTTCAAAGCCAAATCTGAAGCTTCTGATGAATCGTAAATCTGACCTGGCCACCATGGATGATTCTTGATTTTGCCCCAAACAAAATCTCCAACATTGTATCCATGCTCCTCTTCTTCTTCTTCTTCTTCTTCTTCTTCTTCTTCATCTTCTTCACCATCTTCAGCTTCGTCTCCACCAATCTCCTTATCCTCGTCACTGACATCTTGCTTCAGTTTCAGCAGAGACGAAACTCCATTCATTACACAATCTTCAACAGCTCCAGAACCCGTCTCAACAACAACGTTTTCCTTGGATTTGTTGTCATCATCATAAACATAATCTCCCAAAACCTCTTGCTCTCCGTTTTCAGGAACCCTAACACCGTTCTCTTCTAGGGTTTTCTCACCTGAGTCGTGTTGTTGTTTAGCTGATCCAATTTCTGATGTACAAGCTTTAGGTTTTGCTTCCTCTCCGATTCCCAAAACAACTTCCATTTCCATATTTTCCTAACTTTTCCCGAGAAAATCAGAGAAAAAAAAAAATCAGAAAACGACAAACTGATCTGAAATAAAATCAAACCGACCTACACGAACGAACATATCCACAAAAATCAAAACTTTATAAATTAGGGTTTCTGAAAATCAAAATATTACACAGAAGAACAAGTAAAAAATTTGATAATCACCTTAGCTCGAGAGAAAACAACAACTTTTCGAGCAGCGAATCCTTGAGATTTCCTTGTAAGAACAAAATCAAAGAGAGAAGAAGATACCGTCTTTTCAGAATCTCATTTTTGTTCTCTTTCTCTTTCTCTGGATTTTGAAAGACGAAATGAAAAAACTATGAGCTTCAACGCGGCGCAAATTTGTTTTTTCCCTTTCTGAAAAAATTAAGACACATAAAAAGGGTATTTTCGTAATTAACACCTTCTTTTTTTTCTTTGGTTACTTATCTGCCTTTTTTGCCACGAGAATAAGACAACGTTTTTAATTGTTTTTTGACTCAAAATTTTACAACATTTAATCGCCTGTCGCTTTCACGCCACAAAGAGACTACAAATCTAAGCGACAGCTCCGCGAGTACAAAATTAAAACATATTCGCTAGTTACTCACGTTAGTATGCGATTCGTCAGTATTCAGATTCTTACGTGGAGGATATCTAATGGAGGATAGATAACACGCGCGTTTTGACGAGACTGAGGATATGAGATTGAGGAACGCGTCACATGCTTCCGATGTTCGACAGCTGTCACTTTCTTGGACGGCTAATAATTTGCGGCAGTAAAAGCTGAGTGATTCCGAAGTTGGCATCTGAAACGACACATGTATTTGCCGTTTTTAATATGATGGATATGTATGATAGGTGGCCCAAAACTTTATTACAACAATATCTAATTTTATTTAATCCTGTTAAGTTATCTTTTTTTTTTTTGTCTAACTGTTAAGTTATCTAAATTTAGTGCTAACTGATTAGTCTTTTTTTTTTCCTTCGGATCCTACATTAATTTGCCAGTATGAGTAAGTTTATATTATATCTGTTGCTTTTGGTGATAAAGAAATGTGTTAAAAAGATCATGCTTGAACCAGTTAAAAATATGTGATAAATTTATTTAAAAAGTGTGGGATTCAGTATGATTTTTTATTAGACTTGAGAAAATATTTACCAAGTGGATAAAAGAATCCGATTTTTTTTGCTAAAAATACAAAATATTAAGATTTGTAATTAATTCATTAACACAATTAATAATAAAAAATATTTTTTTTCTAGTTATTAGATTGATGATTGATTTTGACTTCATTAAAGAAATCAGATTTTTTTGCTATAAAACAAGAAATACAAAATATTAAGATTTATAATTAATTCATTCACACAATTCATAAAAAAAAAAAAATTTATTGGACCGATGGTTGATTTTGGCTTCATTGAAAGTCTTTTAGAATCAGACTCGCAACAAAGAAATGTGTTAAAAAAATTATGTTTCAACGAGTTTAAAAAATGTAACGGATTCACTTAGAAAAATGTGGGTTCAATATGGTTTCTTATTAGACTTGGAAATCTTTTACCAAGTGGAATAAGAAATCTGATTTTTTTTGCTATAAATACAAGATATTAAGATTTGTTATGAATTCATTCACATAATTAATTAAAAAAAATAATCATTTTTTCGAGTTATTGGACGGATGGTCGATTTTGGCTTCATTGAAAGTCTTTTGGAACCATACTCGCAACAAATTAAAAAAAAAAAATGTAACGGATTCACTTAGAAAAGTGTGGGGTTCACTACGGTGTTTTATTAGACTTGGGAATCTTTTACCAAGTGGAATAAGGAATCAGATTTTTTTTCTATAAATACAAAATATTAAGATTTGTAATTAGTTCACTCAATTAATAAATAAAAATTAGTCATTTTTTCGAGCTATTGGACTGATGGTCGATTTTGGCTTCATTGAAAGTTTTTTAGAACCAGACTCGCATCAAAGAAATGTGTTAAAGGGATCATGTTTGAACGAGTTAAAAATGTAACGGATTCACTTAGAAAAGTGTGGGGTTCAGTACAATTGATATATCATGGTTTTTATGGTTTTTGACCATGGTATAAGTCTTATTTATAGAGTCTTTCTAGTGTTTTTCGAGTCTTTTGGAGTCTTTACAGGTCTTAGGTACGTTTGGAGCTTAACTGGAGATTTTGGAGCACTTTGGAGCTTAATCAGGATCAAATTCGTCAAGGATAGATTTTGTGCTTTAGTGTTGCTCGACACCATGGAGAGTGATGCTCGACACTTGTCAAATAAATAAGGAAAAGACGATTTTGTTTCCTGTTTGAAGAAGGAGTTGGGCCCAGAAGTTCCCAAATAATTCCAAGAAGGCCTAGAACGTGTTTTAGATATATATATATAGGATTTTTATTCCCTTTTTATCGATACTTTAGATTTTTGAGAGATAGATACTCTGAGTTTTTGCTTGGGCGATTTTGAGAGCTAGGGAAGACAAGTCTGAACTCTGTCCGTTTAGAGAGAAGATTTCGAACCCCTTTATCTATTTCGATTTAATCTATTGCTTTCTATTCATCATGTTTGTTGTTCCAATAATCATGTCTGAGTAGATCACCTGTTAGGTTTAGGGTTTAATTAGGGTTTTCTTTGAATGTTTTATTAACTCGCTAGTTAGGGTTCGTATCTGTTAGTTCTTCATCTTAGGTTGTTCTTAATGCTAATTCTGGACTGATCACCTAGAACTTAGATTTTAGGTTGCTTAATTGACACGGAAGTGTAATTGAATAACTGGAAAGAACCTAGTGTGAGCAAAGTAGCTATTCGCAAAGGAATTTGGTTTAGATACTTTGTGAACATATCGAACTTGTGCATTAAAGCTAGTTTAAATCTGTAGGATTTGCAAAGGAATTTGGAATTCTAGGATTTTAACTTAGATAATTCTCACAACGGAAGTTGGTTAATTATAATTCTGTGTTTCGAGTTCAAGAACCATGCTTAAACCTGAACCCTGACTAATCGATTGATCTGCATTCATTGATCTCCTGAAAAACGCCCTAGACCTAATCTCCATCCATCTGAATCTTACAAACCGTTTTTACTGCTACTTAGTTTATTTCTGTTGCATTGCTAATTATTTCCAATATTTCTGCTTAGCGTAATTCGATCTCTATAAAGTTTATTGAGTGATCTCTTGTCTCTGTGATTCGACCTCTACATACTACAACTGCACATATGTGCTCTTGCAGAGTAGCTTAGAGATTAAACTTTGAGTATATCAACAGTTTCTTATTAAACTTGGGAATCTTTTACCAAGTGGAATAAGAAATCAGATTTTTTTGCTATAAATACATGATATTAAAATTTATAATTAATTTATTCACACAATTAATAATAAAAATAGTCTTTTTTTCGAGCTATTGAACTGAAGGTCGATTTTGGCTTTATTGAAAGTCCTTTAGAACTATATTTGCATCAAAGAAATGTGTTAACGAGATCATGTTTGAACGAATTAAAAATGTAACAGATTCACTTAGAAAAGTGTGAGGTTCAGTACGGTTTCTTATTAGATTTGAAAATCTTTTACTAAATGGAATAACGAATCAGATTTTATTTTGCTATAAATACAAGATATTAAGATTTTTAATTAATTCATTTACATAATTAATAAAAAAAATAGATGTTTGTCTTAATTTACAATTCTTTTCTGTGTTTTTTCGATTTTCTTCTAGTTTGATTTGTTCATATTCACAATACTATTCATTTTGAAAAATTAACTATTAAAGGAAATATTGTATCTTTACTTTGTTCAACTGACCATGGTATTTAGAAAGTGATTGTAAACATGATAATTCGCTAGTTATTTTTATAAAACTAGATTTGTGTTTATACTTAGTATTATAATTATGTATTGCGTATGTATTTTTGTACAGGCTTGTGATAATCAACTGGTTAAAAAGAGCTTGCTCTATACAATTGATTCAAGTATTTAATTTTCATTAAAATGTAACTTGATAATTAAGATATTTTGAATGAAATTATGTGGTCTAGTCATAAATAACTATGAATGTTGTTTTTTAAAAATATATAAGATATAATTATCTTTAAATCCAGAGTTATTTTTAGGAATTCCAACGGTGACAGTATATAAACTTTCATCATCAAAAAGAGATCAAGATTGATTGAGACAGTGGTATGCTATTTTTTTTCTAAAGACTCAAGAACTATTATACATAGAAATTTAATGGGATGACTCGGAATTTGGGTAATCGTATCCTAAATTGGATGTATTTCATCACCTTTCAAATGCGTGGAGGATCGCGTTTAACACAAACTCCAACTATGGACGTGAACATAACTTGGATATATAGTATATAGATTATACAGTAAAGTATAAGCGAGGCCAAGAACCAATGATAGATGGTAATAGAGGATCATTTGTAGTGTTAAAAATAAAGAGAAGAACAAAAGTATACAATTCATAAATGAGAGGAGATATCAGAATGGTTATCACCATTGAACCAACCTTATTGGTATCATCGACAAGACTGTTGGCAAAGTATAAGAGGAATTTGACTGAGATTGCTCTATGCTTCATCAAATTTTGTCGAATTTTTCATCGAATTTTTCAAGTCCTTTTCAGCCTTACCAATATGTTTTGGATGAAACATTGTAAATATGTTTTTGGTATTACTTAAGAAAGAAAAAAAATGAAAAGTCAAATTCATCCACGTTTTCAATAATACTCAATTTTAAGCTGTGACCGACCCACCATGTGATGTTTTCAATTATATTGCACATGGAAGATGTTCACACGAAAAACATGTGCGCAAGATTAAAAAGACATGCAGCCTAATTCCATAGCCATTCAAAAGAAAAGCTCGAATGTTTTTTTACATAACATTTTCTATAATTCATACTCCCTCCGTTTTACAAAGAGTGTCGTTCTAACACTTTTTTTTATTTCAAAAAAAATGTCGTTTTAGAATTCCAATGTAATTTTTAACATAAAATACCATTTTTAACCTCAATAAATTTAAAAAATTAATTATAAATATAATTCTAAGAATCATTTTCTGCAAATTAATAAGAGTATAAAAGATATTTTATCTTATTTCTTAATTTGTGTGAAAAATGTCAGAACGACACTCTTTGTAAAACAGAGAGAATATATATTACGATTGAAGATGACTCAAACGATATGTTTTTAAGCATATGTTTTTGATCATGTGGGTTGTACCATTCTCTTTGGACGTGAAATCTAATATCAACGATTTGTTTAGATTTTTAGCATTTTTAGCAGAGTGTGACTTGAGAATTAATAAGACTTTTGATAATTTTCGGTGAATTTAAGGAAGTTCTTATGATTTGGTTTGAAATTTTTTGCA